GACCCCGAGGTTCGATCTGTTGAGCAAGTTTGAAAAACTGTTCAACATAGAACAAGCCGGAAAAATCGACAAATTTGCTCTGAAGAGCAAATAAGAAATACTAGAGGTCATAGATCTCCGCGAGAAAGTACGTTATGATGTGCAAGTTGCAAAAACTGTTCAACATTGAACAAGGCGACAAGATCCACAACTTCGCTCTGAAGAGTAAATACAAAAGATACTAGAGTTCATAGATCTCGGCGCGAAGACCCCGAGGTTAGACCTGTTGAGCAAGTGAGTACAGGAATTTAGAGCGCATTCGTGATCAAATGCAAGAAGAAATCTTGAAATAAGGAGCGAGTAGCGTGGTAGAGAAACACAACGTCGACAGCTTAGTAGGAAGGGTATGGGGGAAGAAATTTTGAATCAGAGACGTCTTAGACAAAGTCAAGTTCGCCTTTGTAGAGATACCCCGGTCAATAGGCAAATTGAAAACGAAAGGCAGTCCTAACGAATCCGAATAACGAGAGAAAATAATGTTATAGAAACTGATTATAGTGTAAATTTAACAGATTTGCATATTTACATATTATTGTTCAGAGTCTTCATCATATAAAAAGCGACCGTTTTATGCTATCTTCAGATATTTTATATTTTGTAGAAACTTGGAGTTATGCTTGCGAAAAGTTTAATATAGCAGGATTTACTCCAATTAACGAACTGAGCACGGAAACAAGCAACAGAAATAAACGGGCATTATAGTATTATATATGCAAAGCATAGAATAGCTAGCTCTATAGAACCAGAAACTGTAAAGAAAGTTATTCAGGCCACAAAGTTTTAGAATCGGTTTTGTTTAAATGTTTCAATATTAATATTCTGATTCTTAACAGAAATTCATCTTTATTTGTCAGACATTTAATTGTAGAACTTTAGGAAGTCCTTGTTTCTGAGTTATACAATCAAAATGTGCTAATTGTTGAAGATTTTAACATTTGTTTAATGTCTACATGGACTACAATAGGAAATCTGCTTGAAGAAAAAACCTTTAGTTCATTGCTTGGTGTAGAATATTCAACTACACATGCCGGCACGCAAATTAATTGGGCATTTTCAAACATGGGTCCTCCCCCATGTTAATGGAATTACTTTTGAGACAGTACACAGCTAGCATGACAGTATTTGTGTCTCTATTTCGAACTAAAGTTTTCAGTCTTATTGCAATGGTTCTTCATTTTTTATTCAAATATAATCCAATTAAAATGGTACAGCAATTTTGATGGTAGTTTTAAAAACAATTTTAAGAAAAATATGTAAATAATCTAATTGAGAAAATTTTAATTATATGTATAATTTGTTATTATATAAGACATTAATTTATAAATATATGATAGAAATTAAATAGTATAAAGAGAAATGAGATATAATTTAGATATTTGCATAAGAATCTCTATAAAAATTTATGTTTAATATTGTATAATATAATTGTTAAAGTTGGTAATATTTATTATTTTTAAGCTAAACATGTATAATAATATCGATAAAGTAAATAAAAAATGTTATTCATTGTCAAAAAACGATTTCTTTTCATACTCCTCAATACAGTTGTAATTCATTCTATATAAAATCAATTATAAGCGTATACAACAAAACCCAAGAACGATTTACAAATTGCTCTAATTAATTTCACTGTGAATGTAATTAACTGAGGCAATAGTTCCTACTTCTAATTATTAAAATATATAAAGAAATCTCAAATGAGTATACCATTTGACCATGAGAGAGTATAAAATGTTCGTTTACATTTTAAATAAATTTTTTATAATGGGTCATAAAGGCCTATAGAGGAACCGAGCACCCGAAACTAGTAGTTTAATAAGTCTAATATTGCAATCAGATGGCACTGAACATTATCTGTTGCATCTTCACCATGCAAGTGCAGCAAACTTATATAATATTTGGGCTTATTTCTGGAAGTGCCAACACTCTGAACTCAATTTCCAAGATAGGTAGTTCATTTTGAGCACCTTCCTCTAAGTCTATTCCATTAAAAAGACTTTGAAAAACATTTTTAAGTTCACTTTGCTCAAAAACATCATTTTTTTTTTTTGATTTTCCTCAATTAGAACACGATGTCTTATGCAAGTCTGCTTATTATCGTTTTTAATGAGATCTTGTTGTTCATTCTGCATGGATAGTAAAGCATTACCATTCCGCGGAAATACTCAACTCTGGCCAAATGTAGGTTCAACCTTCTATATCGAATAATACAAGGTTTGGTACGTTTTTTCACAAAACCGCTACCGTCTTTAAGAGGCATGACAGCACCGCTTTCTGGTAAATTATCGTCTTCCCTGGCTTGTGCTTTTTTACTAGATTTAAAATATTTGTATATATATGGGAAATCAGCTAAAGAAAGAGTTTCTAAGTCAGGTTCTAAGGTCCCGCTTTAGGTTTCAACATTCGAACACGTTCCTTAGGTCAAGAGGTATTTATAAATATTTTGCATTACTTGTTTCCGAAAGATGCAGCTCAATGCAGCAATATATTGCTTCTTGTGCAGATATAATATTTCTGTGCCTGTTATAAATTTGTGACCTATACTTGTATGTTTAAGTTTTAGCTGAACAGTATAATTTCCAGCATTTACCTCTGATATAGCTTCAGTTAAGAGCCTAGAAATTCCCCTGTTAGACTTGTTAATATAATATAATTAATTATATACCTCCTGCTCAAATATAAACGAGACTGGCTCAATAAAACAAAAACGGTTAATTATTCTTCAATATTTATTTTATCCCCTTCAAAATAGTCACCATTAGAGGCGATACACATATGCCACCTTTTTTTCCAATCTTTCTAATACTTCTGGTAGTCCGCTTTAGGTATGGCTTTCAGTTCCTTCTTCGAATTCTCTTTTATGACTTCAATCGACTGAAAATGCTTTCCACGAAGCGGCAATTTGAGTTTAGGGAAAAGAAAAAAGTCACACGGTGTCATGTCGGGTGAATACGGTGCTTGCGGAACAATATTTACGTTGTTTTTGGTCAAATAATCGCGTACAAGACGAGACGTATGAGCTGGATTTTGGAACATAGTGCCGTAAAAAAAAACTATGGGAGAGATCGCGCTCAAATTTGACATGTAATCATATAACAGTTCTGCCAACCTAAGCAAAAAAAAGTATGGCCATATGTCATGTCCTTGTCGAGTTATGGATAAAGTCTCGTTTATATTTGAGCAGGAGGTATGAACGGCAAGCATATGCATCCAGTATATATTGGATATCCATATTTGCTTTATGGAGTTCCAAAATCAGAGGATTATAAGCGTTTATAAAACGATCTTGTATTTTTCTTTTTAGAATAGTCATCAAAAGATATATTAATTCTACTATCAGACAAGAAATCTCTTAAATTTGAAATGTCTTCTGTGGTCATATTTGAATTAATAACGTTTTGAATTTTGAAAAAGTTTTAATTGTGTCTTTCTGAATTTTAACTTATTTCTGTAAGAGGTAACAGTATTTGCGTTGAAGGCGTTGGTGGATATGGTATACCAAAACGACAAAATTGTGGTCCCCTTATTTCCCTAGTACAATCCCGACTGTGGTTATGCTTTTAATAACCCAAATAATTTTCTAAGTGGCTGATTGAACCATATGTAGAAATATAATTGTCAATAAATCTAATGACATCAGGAAAAGTCTGAGGATCCTGAAGGTTGATCCTGGGAGCATTATTAAGCCAATACATGCCATGTACATGCGGGGAACCTCTCTGTTGAAACTCCACTCTCCAGTAGAAATTTGTGACAAAATGCTCTCCAAAAATGCCGGCATTTTCTTTAAAAAGCTTAAGAATTTGTCGATAGCGGTTGATTAAACTCAATATAGTTTCTAAATGTCTTACCGCTGGTGGGGGACAGAAAAATACTTTCTTGAGTTGAGAATATTTTCATTCTTAGTTTATTTTAATTTTGTTTTTCCTTATATATTATTTTAATTCTTACACAAAGTACGTGTACATGTGTATGTTTGTATGTATCGTTACACGGCATGGGGTTGTTTTTAATTGTACATCCATGTGCTTGTGTATGTGTTCGTATGTTAATTATTATATGCGACATGGGCTTCTGATTTGTGTGTACATATTATATTCAGCGTTCAAGTGCACATATTTATAGTGCATAAATGTATATCTTAGGTCAAAAAGTTATCATATGAATACATCTTAACCTAAGTAAATATGTTTGTATTTTTAATTGTTGAGCGCATGCGTATTGCATACTTCGGCACGTTTTGTACTACCTCAGCATATCAATGATAAGCATGTACAAAGACTTGGCTTCCTCTTCCGAAATATCTTTAGAATCAACAGTTTTAAAGAGGATCACCAAAAGCTCTACCCACTTAGATTCTGCAGCCGATAAAGTGATAAAGAAAGTTAGAAGCCCAAATTGGCGAATCATAGCGATTGCCTTTTTCTTCTCAGCTCCCCAGTGCGCAGGAGAGGACCAAACGCCTTTCAAGACCTTGTAACTATCATCGTGTTGAATCAAGTTCTAAACAAAGTTTTCGTTTAATAGATTTTGGGCCGTACGGTTGCGACCCGAAAAATTTCTAAAGCAAATGGATGTACTATTCTTAATTTGTAGCAGTTCTAATTTTTTGTAATTATAG